CCAACTATAAGTAACTGAACTGTATAAGATTGAAGTAAGGCTGTCCTGCTGTCAAAATTAATATTGATAACCCTGAATGATTGCTTTAAGATCCAACAAGATTTATTAAAAATGCTTCTAACTAATTCTTTGTAAGTTAGTTTGCTCTTAACGACCATATAAGGCTCTCTACTACGTAGAATTCTTCGTCGATTCGCACCTCTCAGCTTATATAGCATATCATAATTATGTTTGACCCCTGCTATATTAAAAGAAGGTTTATATATAAAATAAAGTCAAATCCTATTCAATTGAATTCAGTACAATAAGCTGTTAAGATTCCTCATGAAACTGGTATAATTATTTGCTATTGCATATATATATTTCTTATGCCAGTTTATACAAATTATTTGTTCGATTTTTCATTTTCTCAAATTGCCAGTCGAAATTTTTTACTCTATCTGCCTGATTACGTCAATCGGCTTATTTTATACCAGTTGTTTGTTCGTATTTGCCACTCTCTGCCAAATATTTCGATCCTCTGTTCTCTTGTCGTAAAGCTATATGTGAAAACAAAAACAAAGTTATGTTGTTAGATTTCATATAGGAACATTTTTAGATAATTTCCAAAACTTGTATAATTTGTATTGCTGTATATAATATTTTACAGGATTTATGAAAGTTTATACCAATTATTTGTTCTATTGGACACTCTATAAGGGACGATTGAAGTTTTCTGTTTTAGCTGTCTCTAATTAAGCCAGTCTACTGATTATTGTTTGTTCAATTTGCATTCTCTGCCCGATATTTCTATCCTCCATTCTCTTGTCATAAAGCTTATATATAAAGCAACAACAAAGTTATATACTTAAATTTTATAAAAGAAAATATTTAGATACCTTCCAAAACTGGTCTAGTTTTTCTATTTTTTACTATATACGATTTATACCAAATTATACCAATAATTTGTTCTATTGGCCATTCGGAAAGGTGTAAATGAAGATGTCTCTGCTAGCTGTGTATAATTGTGCCAGTCTACTTATTTTATACCAGTTGTTTGTTCAATTTGGCACTTCCCAAGAAGTTAGCTGATGTCTTACCGGGTTTTTAGCAGAATTTGTTTATAAATGCAATTTTGCGGGATCAGCGTTGGTTAAAATGTCTGTCATGTTGTGGCGCTTATTCGCCCACACTGACAATTATTTGATTTCCAGCACAGCATATGCCAGAAGCCACTACAATAAATGCCACACACACACAAATACGGTAAACAAAGCAACAACACCAACACTTAAATATGTATATTTGTATATACATATGTACATATAAATATTATATATTGATGTTTGTTCATTTCGTTGCAGTTGTGTGTATGTGTGTGTGGGCGTGTGTGCGCGTGTGCGCGTGCCGCAGCGCTTCACAAATGATATCACAATAATTACACGCAGCATTACAAGTGGTAATCGCGGTATTTGTTTGTTGTTCTTAGCGCATACCATTGTTGCAGCTGTTGTTGTTTATGTTGTTGTACGGCAGTTATGTTATTAATTAAATACTGCAGAATTTCTCGTTTTTCTCTCATCGCACCGAACAACGCATTCTGGCTCGATTTTCAATTTTCATTCTTCATTCCGCCTTCTGTGCTTTCGTTACTGTGTATGTGCATATGTGTGTGTATTTTTTGGTCTGCCACTAGCGGCTATGAATTAATCTGAGCACACATTGTTCATACATATACATATGCTTATGTGTGTGTGTGTGTTGTACTCACAAGTATGCTGGGAATTTCAATACTTCCATCAATCACTGCTCATCATAACACAAGTATGTTTTCTATGCGTCCCTTTACCCCAGATACCAAATACGTCTATAATTAACTTATGTTCTCATTTAACGATGTGTGCGTGACTGTATGTGTGTAGTGTTGCCCCAGGCCGGTTGACTGGTCGTTAGTTCTTTTGATCGTTTTCCATTTGCCTCGCTTTGGCTCAATTATTCATGTGAATTGTGGTTTTTGTATTGCATTTCAAACACTCTTTCAAAGCTTTTTATCAAGTGTTGAATGGTGTAGAAATATGGTGAAAAACCATACCACAAGAATATATAAGAGCAGGCAGTGCAACCGTTTAGCGGTCAAATGGGAGGGGCGTTTACTGGAACTAATTAAACTCGTATATGGGAATAGGCGATGGTAATAGTGCTGTTAGTTTGAAAATAAACGTTTAGTAAAGATTATATCCTCCAAAGCAAAAGCAAAATACAATTAGATCCACGATATCTCAAAAATTGTCTGCGTTCTCAGAAAATGTTTGACGATTAGTCAAATTCGTCGTTATTTGCTTAAATTTACGGCATCAAATAGTCGGTTATCATGGCGCGATAACGGTCGCCATTGACGGTTACGTTCTCACCGGCATCATTTTTGAAGAAACCACAATAAACCGTAGTTTTTTTGGGATGAAATGGCAGCTCTTGAATCTCTTCAAGTTGCTTTTCGTCCCTAGTGCGGCAAATTTGCTTGTTTACATACCCATTGAGCCAGAAATGGGCCTCATCGCTGAAGAAAATTTGGTTCGAAAACGTCGGATCTTCTTGTAACATTTCAAGCTGCAAGCTTGCACAAGCTGTATTTTGTACGCTTTCAATTTAAGATCTCGACGTAGAATGCCCCAGGTCGTTCCATAAGTCAGTCCGAGTTGCTGCGAACGGTGCCGAATCGACTCTCCTCGACCTTCGTATACACTCTCAGATACGGTTGCTATATTTTCACTGCGTGCTGGACGTGGTCAAATATTATCCAATAACGATTGCTTTGTCTCAAGATGGGTGATGGTGTTACGAATAGTACGCTCAGTAGGCCGATTATGTTAACCATAAATCGAACGAAGCGCGCGAAATACATTCTTTACAGAACGTGAGTTTTCGTCATAAAGTGAAACGATTTGTAAACGTTGTTTAGGCTAAAATTTTTCCATGATGAAATGCCATACAATACTGAATAAAAATAACATGACAGGCTATTGAAAAAAGTACTTCTACATGGATCACCCTTTATACTTTTATGGTTGTGCGAACTTATTGATTTGTTTGGCGAAAACACTTTTTTTGTTTTTGGAACTCGGATAATTGGTCATTCTAGGTTTTACCCTTTAGACGGCTCCCGCATCAGGATCAAGAATTGTGGATATTCAATTTAGTATGATTTTTATATTACCTCACAACGTCCGAAAGCTTGAGGTAACAAAATCAATGAAAGATAGTTCTGAATATCTTCACGTGGCGTTTAATTACTCCGAACCAATGTTTATAGTCATATTTGTAATATCCATCGAAATGTATAAACTAAGCTCTGTTCATTAGGCGGAATGAAACTCTATCTCTTTGTCTTGCTATAATAATACTTTCTTTCCCATCTGTTTTCATCGTGACCAATGAAATTTGCTTCCCAACCCACGACTGCTAATAAAACCTTTGTAAACGTAAGTGTTTAAAAGAGCTTCCCGTCCCGTTCCCGTCTCTACAATATACAGATCTTACAGCACTGTATATAAGATCTGTAATATAATAAAATCGTTAATAGATGTTAAAAAACATTCTCTTCATCCGATTGGTATGTAATTCTTTTACTAATATAGGTTATTTTCTGTTCTGGCAAAACCATATATATGTATAATATAAAAAGTCCCTTTTAAACACACGACGCTGTTTGCTGAAACTTCGCTCTCCGATATCTAAAACAAATGTAAGGACTGTCAGCGCTTTCTCAACATTTAGTCCATTTTTTACTTGTTATTAAAAAAAAAAAAAAAGACTAACAAATGAGCACTTGGTAAAACAAATAATCACCCAGATTGAAAAATAATGCAATTACAGCACAAAAACAGTGGCAAAAATAAATAAACAATAAGCGAAGTGAGTATAAGAAATACAATTGGCGCTGGCGCCTTAAAACTCCACTCGAGTTGCTGTCGACTGTCAAGTGATTAGTTTGCGGGAGGGCGAAAAAAATAATCCAAACAAAATATGATAGTAATAAGTGGCATAGTAAAAGAAGTGATGTCATGAGTGCCACATGTGTGTGGCAAGCGCGCAGCAGATGTGGCAAATAAATGATACTTGTAGTGCTTTACATCATTTAAAGCAAGTTTTGTTTACCCGACGCTTTGCGCTTGAGTGGCAACCATGCTTTATACTCAGTGATGCATTTCCATTATATTTGCGTTGATTTATGACAGGCCTAATGACATATTAAATGTGGGGAATTTTTGATAGATTTTTAAGAAATTCCTAAATTTTGAAAATATTTAAAAAATTAGCTTTCTCGACACACACACGCTTGGGTTAGTCTAAAATTCCCATCTGCCGCACTATTGACGCCCAAATTATTTCAAATATTTCATTAATTTAGTTTTTGTTTTGTTGCAACATTTTTATTTCGACATTTCGGCACACGCCCCTCTCATTTCCATTGCTGCCGGAGCATATTCCCTTTGCTATTCGTTTTGTGTCAGTGATCTGCACAATTTAGTGACATGATTTGCTCACAGCGACAGCCGAGTTAGAAATGTTAATGACCAATTTGAAAACAAAATACAAATTTTGTTCTCGCTTTCTTTTTATTCATACATACTCGTACACACATATATACATATGTATATGCACATGTACATATAGAAAGAAGTGCATATGTTTCCCTCCCAAGAAACTAATTGTTTTTTAATTTCATCTGTCAGTGACGTTCACTTCTTCTGTGTTTTGCTTTTTACTCAGAGTAAACCAAAAACAAAAATTATCCGAATAAATTAGTCAAATAAACTTAATTAGTTTGTATGTGTGAAAAATGCCGGCGCTGATGGTTCATGAAATATTATTTAATTTTTTACGACTTGTACCCTCGAGTTGGTCTGTGTGTTGATTGATAGATAATGAAGGCACAAATTGTTTATGTAAGTATATGTCCAAATTTCAGTTGATGTATTTTTTTCAATTGAACAGCTGTTTCATAATTAAAAAAAAAAAAATTTTTTTTTAAACCTGGCATTTTTTAAAATATGCAAATCAATGCGAAATTTCACAAACTGGCATCAGTAAATGGTTTGGTGTGTTGATTGAAAAAAGAGAGGCGCCATACCGCATGCGGCCGTACTTAGGCCATCACTAGGCGCATTGTGCTCTCGGATGATAACCAAATTAAGACATATACAGCTACTCAGTCGATTTGGAGTGAAATATCTCCCGTCTCATCCGGCTCAAGGCTGGGCATTCACAGAGACATCCTCCGCTCATGCTGTGTAGTTTGTGGAATCCACTTTTCCAATTTAAGTTGCGATCTACAATATTACTAAGATTCCTTTTTCCTAGAAGTAGAAGGTTTTTGGTCAGTCCATCACCAATACTAGCCGAAAGTGACATTAAAGAGTATTTATCTTTGTTTCTACTTACCACACTACCCCAACTGTTTACATCTAAATGAGACAAATGAACTGCACCTTTGAATATTGGCAGATCAAATATCATAAGCACGTTTTCATTTAAATATCTAATTCTTTGTTTTGTCGCAAGATTTTGTCTACCGCTATTATCATTGGCTGACTTTTTAGTCACTCTTCTATAAGAAACTGATGCTGAGAGTATACTTATTTGAGCAGGACCATTGACCACGAGCATATTATTGGATCCACTGGGTAGAAATACGACTTTTATCAAAGTCAACGTTTGCAGAATGCGTGGTTCCAGTCGGTATTGCGAGTTGGCGAAATTTTGCAAGACTGAAAAAGTTAATGGAATGATGATAAACATCGTGGTCTCTTACAAAGGGAACAAAATATAAGGCGATCTCTTTAAAAATAATAAATAATTAAGTAAATAAAATCTTTTCTGGAAAATACAAGGATCATATTGCATTCTGTTAATATTTGGTTCATTGAATCGTAGATGGTGAGCTGATTGTAAACTGTTACTATAAGACTATATTTGTTCCACCAACCGCTCCCACATTTCGTTAACTTTAGCTCATATTTTATGCAGTTTCTTGAGAGAACATTCTAGTTTCATGCACTAGTAATGACCAGTATGACGAGCTAAGTCGATTTAGCCATATCCGTCTGTCTGTCTATACGTACACGAAATAGTCCCTCAGTCTTTGAGATATCAATCTGAAATTTTCCACACATCATTTTCTAGCCAAAAAGCAGCTGATTTGGCGGAAACGCCGATAGCGAACCATTATAGCGTTAGCCGCATTACAAGCAAAACGATTAAAATCGTGTCCTTGTATGATACATTTTTTATTCGTAGAGATATCTTCACAAAATTAGGCGTGGATTATTCTCCGAGGCAACAATATATTCCCCGAAGAAATTATTTAGATCGAAACAATATAGCATATAGCTATCATCATACAAACTAATAGATCAAAATCAAGTTCGTATAAGAAAACTTGAACCTGTGAAGACTGTTATAGCGCCGGTGCATCCGAAGTTAACGCTTTCTCTTGTTAACACATTTGGTTACAGAACTTACTAACCTTTCAAAATACCTCTCAGTCTTTGCTTTATATAAAATCCTTTTCTTTCTAAATAATTATTAATATATTGGACCCACAATAATGACAGCTGTCACCTTCAGTATCGATTGAGCTGTCACAGGCGCACGTTATATAATGTGCAAAGTGTCAGAAAAAATGTCAACTCAATTTCTCTTTGCTCGCTTAATTTGTCTTATCCGTTACACATACATCTATGCTAGTTTTTCTATTTTCCTGCTAGCATTAGAAAATTGCCTGCTTTTTCGCACTTCAAACACATTTTCTCCTTACTCAAACACTCACAAAGCCGAGCACTCTTTCCTCGCTCCGAAGCTTTGTCGAGTCAAAATGTTAAACGCTATTTTGACAGCTTTATCTGTCAAAGCATTTATTTGTCCAAGCACTAACGGACGGCCGTGTGTCTGATGTCTTCAATGGCGCACTAATGCCAGAAAAGAATATAAAAGCCACCGATGCATGTTCCAGCACATATCAAACGTATATATGTATGTATGTAAGAGTGTCTGTATATATTACCCGCTTTCAATACTAAATCAACTGCGATAATCATGTGCTGATGAGGATGCGAAATCCAACCAATCCGCCATAGCTAACGACTCACAAAGCAGTGGTTGGGACTGACATTGAATTTGTGCTATGTATGTGTGTATGTGTATGAGTGTTATTTCGTTGGCTGCAGCTTGTGCGCCTGTTTGTATGCTTCGCATATCAAAATACCAAAAATGACGACGTTACAAAAGTCAAATTAGGCCAATTTGTAACAGTCGATGCGATAGACAGACTACCATTACAGTTACAAGCGCACACGCACATACACCTCTGGATTTTCACACATACACGATTTGCAACCACTGCTGCTCGTTTTTATTGTAGTGGTTATTTTTTGGCACGCTTTCTTTTTGTTGTTGTTGTTATTATTGTTGTCTGCTGAGCATTTGAAGAGGGTGCACTTTACTTGCCACATTCGCTTTTAGGTTAGGTCAATAGCAATGATCTCTGGGCATAATACATACATACAAATGTGAATGTGTATGTGTCGGTGGAAAAACTAGGCTGGGTTATTAGATGGCTTGTGATTACTACAACAAAATCACAACCAAATGTTTGACGTTTCTGAGTATGGGTAAGTGTGTATTCTTTTTGGTGCTTTGTTTTTATTGTTATTCTAAATGGTGCTAATGGCGCAATCGACAACAGTTGGACAAACCGGTGAGGCGTCTCTCGTATTCACATTGACCTCGCACTCGCCGACGGTTTGCTGAACGCCTGTATTTAATGTGTGTGTGTGAACAGTGGCATTGCGTTTGCGGCTGTGGTTCTTGCTGTCCGTCTGCACTCTGATTGAGCCCAGACACGCGCGATTAATTACCGCGTAGATGCGTGAAAATCAATATTGAATCAAAAGTGCTCAAGTGTATGTATGTTTGTATGATTTGAAGTACCTGTTTGGAGTATCAGGGCATAAAATAAATACAATAAGCATATTCTTTAATTCACAGAAAAAAATATATTTATGGGAAATGCCAATAACTTATTTTAATTTACTATTAATTAACTAGCAAAATAATTCCAAAATATAATTCAATTTCTATAGCAGCTATATGTTATAGTAGTCCGATCAGAAGTTTGCTTTGGATAATAATCCATACTAAATTTCGTGGAGATATCTTGTCAAACAAAGAAGTTTCTCATACAAGGGCAGCTATTTGATCTATCAGTTTGTATGACAGCTATATACTAAAGTGGTCCGATATGAAGAGTTCCGACAAATGAGAAGCTTCTTTGAGGGAAAAAGACAAGTGCAAAATTTCATATCGGTATCTCAAAAACTGAGGGACTAATTCGGGTATATACAGACAGACGGACAGATGGACAGACTGACAGACAAACGGACATGGCTAAATCGACTCTGCTCATCATGCTGACCATTTATATATATATGTATATATTTTTTTATAGCTGGATTATAGCTTATAGCTGCCCTCTCCACTCAACGATGTTAAATCTTCGTTGAACCTAATTTTTTATAGGATGTAAGTATTACCAGAGTAATGTGAATTGCAGTGCTATATACAGATAGTTGCACTCTCACCAGCCCTTCGATAAAGCAATTCTATTTAGGTTGACTATGTCGGTCATTATTTCGGAAGAAAACGATTTACATATAGAAACTGAATCGCTACTGCAAATTTTAGCTATTTTGGAATTGCCAACTATTCGAGAGTAGCAAATTGGACAAACTTTACGAGTTGTGCTTAATTATGAGGAGCTTTCTTTGATGACTTTATTCTTATTTTGGCGATTAACATATTTTTGTAATCTTTTAGTTTTAAACATTCCGTTTTCTATCAAAATTTATTATTAATTTTAAGTCTTAAGTTTTTAAAATCAGAAAAAAAGTTCGTTTTATAATTTTTGAGAGTATTTTGTCGTGTGATCTATTCACAATGGTAAAACTGGTCTAAAATACACATACAAAACAAAACGTGCTAGCATTGAAGATAGATAGCATCTATCCACATTAATGAGGTATCGGCATACTCTCTTGTACGAATTCAACTCGATAACTTTAATACTGTTTTCAAATTGAATTTTTCCAAAGATTTCTCCATGTAGACCTTCCCAGGTGTCTTCTACAATATTTTCCCAGCATCTGCAGTATTTATTCTTCATAAATACGATATATATATTTTTTTGGTATCGTTTTATATAACGTACACCATGTATTGGGGTCTTCTTGAGTCCAATTTTTTATCAAATGAAAGAAGTAGAAGGCAACTTAGTAGCAGCTTGGTTATCTGAATGGCACGTTATTTGAATATTTACAAATATTTTAGCGGAAGAATGTATATCGATTTTATATAACTCTTTGAAGTGCATTTTTTCTAACTTATATCAGAATATATGAATAAACTTTTAAAACCAAGCACTTATCTGAATCATGCTTCCCGCTACTTTTTGTCACTTTCAATAAAATAATGTCTTAGAAGTCCGCACACTTTAATAGAATGATTTTTTGAAAGTATTTTATATAAGATACAAATTCAATGATTTCAACTGTTAGAAAAATGGGCGCTTATAATAGAAGACAATGTCCAACTATGTAAATATTGTTTGAGGAGGTAGCATTAACTCAGAAATAATTCTTTTTTTTACCGATATCCGAATGAAATATCCCAACTATTCAGTAATTATCAAAACAAAAAAAACAGAACAGAAGTTATTTCACTTTATAATCTCCCATCACAAAAATGACTTTATTAGGTAAACCGCAGATATTTTGCTCCAAATTACTGCCGTTTTATCTAACTCTTTACGCAATATTCGGTAAACATATTGCCTATCATTAATTAAGAACTTAGGCATATTCCAAAGTTCGCTACATAATAACAACACTACGAAAGGGTTAGACCGCGCCCACTCAACTTCTCACCACGCACACCCAAATTCCCAAGCGAAATGGCGTTTCGAAAACCTGAAAAGGATTGCCTTTTTGACTCATCCCTTTTGGTTTTTTCGCTGCTATTTCATTACCACTGCTATTGCCTTTTTGTTGTTTGTGTTTTCATTCTTCTTTCTTTTGTAATGAGTTCACAAAAGTAAATTACACAGTAGTCACGCGTTAGTTGCTATTGTTGTTGGCCAGCGTGGGTGCCGTTTTTGTCGTGGAAGCGTTAAATTAGTTGATGAAAATGCCTTTCCGTGTAGTTAATACAATATAATTTGATTATTTGCTTAAACGTTTTGTTAACCTGCTGATAAGATCCGTAGTGTCGATGGGGAAAAAATGTCGCTCTTGTTTGCTTTTGTGAGGCGCTGAGAATGTATGGAGTGGCTTGTTGAGTGTAACTCCGTGGGGATATTAATAGGATTGTGGGAAAATTCACGTTGTCACCGAAAGCTTTTCATAATTGCTGATAAAATTAAATTACAAAAATAAATAGAAGCAACAAGTGGTGCTGTGAGTGAGTTGAGGACGGGAATTGTGTGGGTTTGAAGCTTTAAGTTGGTCATTTTTGGAGAGTAATGAAGACTTTAGTGTGTTAAGCGCATTATGAAGCTTTATGACGGAAATATCATTTAAAAAAAAGAAGGTTTCTATTAAATGGTACTTCTAAGTTTATAGAGGTTAAATCAAGTCAGCTAACGATAATTTCCTGGAAGTAGTTAATTCAGATTCCATTATGATCATAAACGCCTTTAGAGGTAACTGGAGTTTCT